ATACTATCTACCAGACTTAATTAGCGCCTGTGCATTTGAACCTCACGGTCCATGAGTGATGAGTCTCTTCTCTAAAGGGAACCAAAGTTGGAGGAAAGATACTTATATATTAGCCGTTACTTTTACATACAAAAGCCATAGGCATGAAATTGCTTATTACAATAAGAGTGAGGTCTTAGTCTAGTAGTGATATTTAATAAAGCTTTAATACTAAAATTGATCACACACGAAGTTACAGGGTTAAGAATTAATGGTGGCCACAAACCGTGTTATCATTAAAATTGGCCATAATTATCTAAATATAACTGCGTGACGACATTAATTTTCACCTAATAAGTTAGCTTTGTAGAATAAAGTAGCGGCTATCGTATATATTTCATATAATTGGCAGTTGGTAACTTTGACTATAAAATAAATATATCAGTGGCTCTACAACCTTTTCAGGTCTGGGCCTCAGATTTCTATATCTGTTTCATGATCATTTGTCAATCTAATAGGCAAGTAGGTGATCAGCCTCCTGTGCTCGACACACGCCGTCGACTATTTGGATCTAAGGCAAGCCGGTTTCCTTACGATGTTTTCCTTTACCGTTCGAGCGAATGTTAAATGCGCACATAAAAAGAAAGTCCATTGGTGCACAGCCGGGGATCGAACCTACAATCTCAGGAATGAGAGTCGCACGCTGAAGCCCCAAGGCCAACACTGCTAATATAAAACTATATGTTATCCAATTATCTAAAAGTATTGGTTATAGCACTAGTTATAGAACATTTCATACTACAAAGACGAGTCGCAAAACATTTTCCTAACACATTCGCCAACACAGCAATTTTCCACGAGCATTCATCGTTTCGCTGACGTCTTTTTGCGACCTATTTCCCGAGACCCATTGAGAGGCGTCGATGTTGGGGAAACAGGCTTTGTGTAAAAGTAGGGTGATTCATAAAACCACAAAATGGTTTATGCTACTTCTTTACATTAGCTCTAAACTAAATAAGAAAGTTTTTTATTTGCCTGGCAAGCGTCGACAACTTTTAGTTGTAGGTTATGCTGGTTTTCTAAGGTACGTATACTGTACAATCAAACGTTATTTGCACGTATAGAAAGAATTTCCATCGGTTGGCGAGGTCGAGGAGCACCTGGGCGTGTATATAATTTTATAGTTATACTTGTATTTTTATTTAATTTAACAGATAATATTTATTGCATGCCATTCCAAATAGTATATTTATTTCAGATCCCTTATGTTACGTTTCTTCATTGCGTAATTAATTAAAGAACTTCAAAAATGTTGAGATAATTAAATAAGACTTCATCTGCCATTTCAATTCTCACCACGCAGAAATTTAATGGCAAGTAATGATCATTAAAGTATGACCGAGTCGCCTCAATAAACATTTTAACATTTACGATATATGGTAAGTACTACCTATTCTCCGGTTTGCGGGAATAGTCTCGTCAAATGAAAAATTAGGACGAAAGATACTTTTCAACGTACATTTGTAGTAATAAATAATGTATAATTGTGATATTTCAACACGTTATTATGCAGTAAAGTATTTTCTTTGAAATGTTTGATTCTCTTTTTAATAAAGTGTTAATTTACCGAACTAAAAAATTGTGTCTTAATACTGAGGGTGTTTGGTGAATGCGGATAGGCACAGGCACTGCACACATAACACAAATAAATAGTTTCTAAGTTTGAATGTTCAAAAGTCTCATATAAGCGATTAATATAATCTTTTTTGATCACAGGTTTTTTTTAAGTAGATAGATATATAGGTTATATTTTATTTGAATAAATGAAATGATGCGTAGCATATAACAATTAAATCATTCCGGTTTGTTCCCCACAGATTCTATTAGTAAAGACAATTAAAGTAATAGTATTTTTTGGCACATTCACATTTCACCATCAATTGGACACCAATTATATTAGTTCTGTCACTGCGTGTGGTTTATCATTTATGTGATACTTAATATGTAAAAGTCATCGAATAATTTCAATAATATCGCATGATATATAGCGCTCTCGAGGATCGATCTCCGATAGCCCTGAGAGCGTCGACTTATTAGTTGAAAGAGCGAGAATTAATTAAAAATAATGAAGCATAATGAACGATTGTGTGCCGCGATCGATATCTGCAAAATTTGCAGCTACGTCCACACGCACGTCGTAGAGTGTAAACTCTTTATAACGAATTTCAAGGGACCGGCCATTTTTCTACGTTATAAAGATTTTTCGTTATACGGTCGGATGAGAAAAAGCACCAAATTTTACCAATTACAATAATTTATATATAAATATATAATACTGGCACCTACAGGCAATGTAATCTAAGAGTAATGGCACACGTGTTAATGCGATTAACAATAACAAAGGAGAGAAGGCTGTTTATGACCTCAGGGGTCTTTCTTAGAAATTTCGGCACCTCAATAGCTTAGTTTTATAATCTGATTATAAAAACTATTACACTTAAAACTATTGCATGTTGTTGATGTCTAGAGTTGCTGTTGGGTTATAAAGAGTAAAGTAATATAATATGGGTTTTGTGTTAAACCAAACCAATTTAATCATTTTGACGTTTCGTTATAACGAGTCATGTTATAAAGAGTTTACACTGAATTTCAATGGCAAAGTAAAATGGTTCCGGTGACTGCATCCAATCCTGTGTCTATTATTTTGTGGCAATGTGTTTTCTTCCATTTCATTTATTTTCATAAAAAATAATTTATGATGGAAGAAAAATAACATAGGCAAATAATATTTCTTTATTATTTTCTAGGATTGAAGAAATATTAAACCTAGTGGCAACACTCAAAACCGACGTGAGACTCGTCTTTGACCACAAATATTTTTTATTTTAATTTCCCGAGAATCATACGCTAATCGTAATGTATAAAATTACGATTTATATCTCACTGACCAAGAGAGTCATCTAGTATGGTAGTAGCATTATTTACGCATCTTAACATTGACGATGTTATCAACATTATAGCACGTTTCAGATGAATGCCGGAGTTTATATGGAATATTTAATTAGTATATCACTTATAGTGATTGATGTGTTGTTTACTTATAAGTTGGTAAAAAATAATTTATATTACGTAACATTTCTTTATATAAGATATTGAAAATTAGAAAATAAGCATAACATTTTGGGACCTATCCGTCTACGCATTAAAACGTAAAATGTTTTAAAGGAAAGGGTTATTAAAAGAAATCTTACCATTTTGTACGAACTTACCAAAGTTACCTTACTTGATAAGATCGATGAAGATACCTTATGTTGAAATGGTTCCTAGCTCATACTAGATTCGTAAAAATACTATAAAAAGGAACTATACAGTTCTCATTCATACAGAAATAATAATTCACCGCTTGCATACAGGTGAAAAAAAAATTACAGAATTTGTTAAAATCAAACATTTATTGTATGTGAACCTTGTGTTACACTATTCAGTGATGATAATCAGTATTTATCAATATTGTTTACAATAATTAATACGCCCTTTCTTTTACATCAGTCTTGATATCCCAGTCGAAGCCAGTCCAGAACCAATCATTTTGTAGTGCCCTGCATCAGAATTATTATTTAATTTATTCTAACATTCCACGCTTCCTGATTTCCGGCTCGAAGGACCACCAAATTTTAGTATCAGCTGTCATCATTACTGTTAGTATTTATAACTTTTGTTTCGCCAAAACAATTCTTAAACCAGGTTTAAAATAAATTACAAATTTGAATCAACATTTTATTTAAAACAAATAACTCTTAATAAAACGATTTAATACATATCTACTTAAGCTTATACCGTATACTAAGCGTTTGCTGCAATCAATTTCAGATAATATAATTTTTATGATTAAAGATGCTTGTGTATTCAAAATACAAACTATGACGCTTTCTGGACAAAATTTGTGTATAAATTTTACATGTATTTTCTATGGTAGGTAAGTTCTCTTTATGTCTAGCTTTTAGATGATTACTAACACGTCTCATATAATAATCAAAATGAAATATATTTATCAATAAAATACATCTAACAACTTTGGTTTTTATATACACATAACAATCATAACATTTGAGCATATTACATAATAGAAATGCGCGAATAAGCATAGCAATACAGCGAAGAAATGTGCCAGCATTAAGAGTAAGCTACCATTATCACACCATACCAGACCATACCATATAAGGAAAGAAATTTATGGTAAGGAAATCAGCATGCTTTAGACCTAAAATTCGACGTATCAAGCCCAGAAGGCTAATCACCTACTTGCCCATCAAGAAAAATACATGTTCACGAAACAGATATAGAAAACTAAGGCCACCGTTGTAGCGCCACAATTTTTTAGGTAGATATTGAGAATAAAAGCTTTGTACTATAATAACCATTAGGAAACGTGAAAATTATTTTGCATATGTGTAATACAAACTTAATTTAAACCTACTATGTAATAAATGCCTAAATAATTATACTCTACAACTAAACAAGCGTCATACTTAAACTAATTTGTCGTATTATTTTACAAAATATATATTAAAGTTATACATAAACTGTATTAGCAATATCAACAGTATAGTGAATGAATACTTTTCACACATTTAAACATTATTTATAACAAAGTAGAGAAATTCTTATTGCAAAAAATCTGATAAAAAAATAAATGTGTCGTTTCTGACGAATCATTTATTTCTACAATAAATAGATTTTAAGATAAGTAAGATATACATATGACCTATAAGAATGTCATTTGAGGGTAGTATTAAATAACTATAACTACGTTATTCGAATTTCTCTTTCTCTATTTTTTAAATGTAATGAATATAATAAATAAAGTATTTATATAAAGGCAATATAGCAATTTCGCAACTCTTTGGCATACAACGGCTTATGAAGGGAAACACTTAAGAATACAACTACAAGCCAAAGATGAAACATTTTTCTACATAAGTCAATGGTTCCTTCTATATTAAGAATCAATATCACATGTTTTAATGAGCTATTTCTACATCATGTCTGGCAATATACCTCTCGAAGAAGTGCAGCAGTTCAAAGCAGACCTCAGCTAGGATAAGGGCTATTACCATCCACTCCAGCCTTACGTGATGCCTATCAGCTGCCCATGATGATAAAAGTTCCAGAAGTTCCACACAGTGAGATAGACGCTCGTTTAATACCTGTATAATATTCCAAAAGAACATATTAGATACGTATTCTCAGTAATAAATTGTCATACTGTGGCCAGCATAATAATAAAATTAAATTAAATTTATTTATATCTTCACGCCTTTTTCCTGAAGGAGAAAACAGAGACAACGGATATCCACTTGCTGCGGTCGTACCAAAATACCTATCTTGCTTCATACACTTTCATGACATTCACCATGCACCCTTCTCTAGTACGTCCTAGATTAGATGAAGGTATGTGAGACAAGGCCTACCCAACCCAATTTCAGCATCCACTGTTGTATATCCTACTTGTTACCCGCTTCTCAATCATCCATTCTATATGGCCATACCGCCTATGCATTTCCTTTTGTATAAAATTAACCTAAAATAAATATATCTAATAGTCGTCACTATCTATTAGTTTTAATAAACATATGAACATCCCACATCTCAAAGAATCTTATCAAATTTATATATGTACAAGAATTTTCTATAAATAACAAAGTAAGTTATTTTATAAACCATAGCGTCATACGAAGTAATAATCTAGTACTTTTTAGGATGGAGAATGTCGGAATAATTTTTAGTTTTAAGTTCAACGTAATTAATTGGGTATTACGTGAAATTTGGATGTGAAAGCACATAGGCCACGTTCACACAGCGACCATTCGATTAGATTTTTTCACGTACACGGTTTTACCGTATACGATGCAATCGTTCACACGGCAACCATTCGATTCGATTTTTTTTTTCGATCAAGGAAATAAAATCCTCGATCAATATTGGAATTCTGTATTGACAACATTGATATACAAAAAACCCAAGATGCACATTCAAAGTCTAAAAAACGTCCTCAAAAAATGAGCGCAACATTCTAAATTGTGCGCTCATTTCAAATAGTCTCGCGTCGCTCGCGTCTGGGAGCAGTTGTTAAAATTGCCAAAGTGTTCTGTGAGAAATTGTAAAAATATAACGTCAAGAAGGCTAAAAAAGGATGGGATATCGTATTTTCGGTAATTAAAAAACTTTATTGATTAGTTCTTGTTGTTTTTATGACTGATTATAACAAGCAATGTGTGATTTTTATTTATTTTTTCTAAAAACTTCATTCAAAGCACAAACTTCTATACGCCCAACTTCAATGGCTGCTTGTTCAGTGTTAGAACAACGCATTACAGTCTTCTTTTTATTTTAGTCGCATTATAAGAATGACCCTGTTCTAATAAGTGGAGTCGATGTTATTTATTTGTGTTTTTTTTTTATAAATAAATTTATGTACTTTTGAAATTTTGTGTGTAGTTTTTGACAAATATATTTATGCTATATAAAGTATAGGTCAGGAGGTAGCCAATTTAACATTTTTTTTAATTTAAAGAAAAAACTTTTTAACCGGATTAAAGTTATGTATTATTATAAATTTACAACTATTTAACATCCAACACCTTTTGTCTTCAGTCACCGTGACCACGCACGCTGTAAAGCACGCGAAACGTCGGATAAATTTAAAATTATGTTAAATAGTTGTAAATAAAAAAGTCATGTTCGACTCCACTCAATTCCATGTCCTACCGACCACGGTCGGTCGTAAAAATTTATTGCTTTAAGTACACTGCGTTGTAATAACAACTTTAAACAATTTGCGTAAGGTTGATTTTGCAATAATATATGCTTGTAACTTATAGAAAGAGACAGAAATAGTGTTTCGGGACACTTTCGAGCGTTACTTTTATTCGAGACTGTGCATCTTGGGTTTTTTGTATATCAATGATTGACAACCATATTGACAACCGACTGATGCAACGCACAAGAGTGTGTACGATTCTCGAATGGGCGAGTCGTGTGAACGAGACAACATGAACATAAGCGCCACTGCGTGTCGTATATGATAAAATCGTTTCGAGACGCAGCGTTTCCAGTGACAACTTCACACGGTATACGGTAAAATATATTTGTCGAACACGGGATTTTCCCGTATGAACGCCGTGTAAACAATTTTTAAGTTTTCATATATATTCTGTTGTCACTACTCTATTCGATAAAATCTCGTATACGGTATACGGGAAAATAATCGCCGTGTGAACGTGGCCATACACTTTTTAGGTAAGTGATGTAAATATTTACGAATATAAACGTGCTTTATAATATCAACCTGTAACTAACAAATCATACATCTAGTAGTAATAATAAACGTGCTTTTATTTCAGTTCTAAAACCTATTTAGTTGGTATTAAATCCTATAATATCAATTTTATGAAAAATTTGAGAATTCGTTCCTAAAACAGTTTTAAACTTTACGTTAGATATAATTTTCTTTTATTATGAATAATTAAAACTCAATGGAACTTTCGCCGCAGAAATTAACTCGTATATTATTTTTCTTTTAATACATCAAATAATTTACATACCCTCGTTCGTCTGGGAATCGTGAAATATGCGACTGTATTTGAGTAGAGCCTTTCCAGGTTCTCCTCTTCCCAGTAGAAGTCTGGTGTGTCTAAAAGATCTGATTCAACTGTTAGCCGATGCCGAAGAGAAAAGAGTTCACCCAATTTTCTTACAACCTGAAAATATTATACATTATAATAATAATTTTCTTCAACTTTCCCACAGCTGCAAATATGCATCACCCAATAGGCATGTACGCAGGAGATTGCATAGTCTATGGCTCTCTGATGAGTACAGGATGTCGCCAGTGTGTAGTAACATTTTATTCAACATGCAAGTTAGTATCATGTGTACCATCTATATATATTCATTTACGTACAGTTAATTCTGCTGTAAGCAATTATAAACCACCTGTTATTGGTCCTAGGTGGTCCCGAAAAAATCTAGATAAAGATTTGCTTAGCAAGGTATCTAGGTAGTTAGTAGAAGCATGGAATCCCCACCTTCAAATATTACAATGTATTGTGAGGTACAATGGTTTAGGGACTCACTGTTGATATGATACATGATACGTGATCAGTGACGTTGCTATGCCCCAGGTAGGTCCCATCTCACCCAAGCAATTCGTTTATCGGTGGTCACCCGAACTAGCCCGACTACAAGCGGAGTACGTTAAAGCGCGTCGCGGTTACAAGCGTTTTAGAAGATGGTATCTCGGTCATCGTTATTCAGATGAGGCAAGTTTATATACTTCTTAAAAAAATAATGCTTATGGTCAGAGGAAATTTCAATGTACCTCTTTCTTTTCAACCCGTGCCGCACCCTCAGATTCCATTAGTGCGGTGTGTGATCTGATCGAGGATGCCAAAGTCTCAAGTCGAGCCTCCCAAGCTCCCAGACGAACTGACTGGACCATTGCATGACTGAAATGTAAAAAATAACTTTTAGTTTAATAACACTTACTCGAATGGTATAAATCTACCTTAACATGTCTTATCAAATAAATTAATAAAAAATGCTAAAAGTATATCAATTTCTGTTTATGAGAACTGAACCATGGCTCCTACTTAAAACTACAGTAATTCATACTGAATATTTATTCTAGAAAAATTCCTAATCAATAATTACAACTCTAGAGTAGATGTGTGTTGAAACCTTGCTTAAGAAATCCTATGTAGAGTTATATTTACCTTTTCTTCTGTTGGAAACACAATAGAAAGGATGTTCTTTTTAAAGCGTAACTTAAGGAGTAAGCAAAACTACTCAATTTACTTTTTAAGTAATTACCTGAATGTGTACTTCTCTAATGAATTTTCTCCATTTTCAACCAGCACAAAACATGACTCTTGTAGATGACAGCTCTTCCTATTAATTAAAAAAAAATTGAGTTAAACTGTACATAATATATTTTAGACACTTCTTACAACTTTACTTACGCATTAGGTTGATAGAAATAGGTCATGATTTCTCTTTCTTTGTGTACCACTTCCAGGGGGTAGCTTTCAATTTCAAATCTGAAATTTAATAAAATGTTGGTGAATATTTCTTTAACCAAATTTTTGCATTCAAAAAAAGAAGTTTAGCTATGGTAATGAGGAAATTATCTAAAATTATAATGGATACCTTCAATATCTAGCTATCAATTACAACCTCATTAATTTTAAATTTAAAAAAATGTGGCATAATAGTATAAAATTCCTTTTTTTAATTTTATTTTATCTAATAGTGTTATACAAATAATAATGTAAAATTACAAACTAACAGTCTAACAAAATCCAGTACAATTTTGACCTCTAATTCAAAAACTAATAAAAATAAAAGTTACACAATAGTATGAAATTTCTTTTTTGCTTTTATTTTGTCTAATACTGTTATACAAGTCATAATGTAAAATTACAAACTAACAGTGTAACAAAATCCAATACAATTTTGGCCTCTAATTCAAAAACTAATAATAATAAAAGTTGCACAATAGTATGAAATTTCTTTTTTACTTTTATTTTGTCTAATACTGTTATACAAGTCATAATGTAAAATTACATACTAACGGTCTAACAAAATCCAGTACATTTTTAGCCTCCAATTCAGTACAATTCCAGAATACAACAGCACCCTCTTTGAAAAAGATTATCTGTCTTGGTTCATCTCCAACAGAATAAACTGCATTTGCTACCACTACATCACCCACTTCTTGTGTTTTTAATCTGTAATTTAATAATAGTATCCTGAATAAATTAAATATTGCATGGGTATAAAGAAAATAAATATTTATATCTTATTAAACTAATCACCATTTTAAATTAATTAAATAAACTGTGTTTCAACAAGTTTCCAATCGGAGAGGTCTATATTATATGTAGAAGAATACAAATTTACTTAGGAGCGAAATAATAACTATACAGCGTCATACAAATAACTTACGTGCCCGGCTCATACAGCTTCTGCTGTATTAAAGCTTCCTTTAGACCTTTTAGGTCATAGGAATTTGCGGTTGCATAAGCCAATGTTAAATAATGACCCTCTTTTTGGCTTACTTCCTCTAAGACTGCTTTTTTGTAAACTGTCTTCTTTTTTAAAGGTATACTTGCATTATCTACTGCTAAAGGAGGCTGAATAGCATCTACGCTGTAATTCCTTACAATACAAAGTGGTTTAGTACAAAATAAATTATTTATAAACTTATTTATCGGTGGTACAATTTCCGGCACAGAAGTAAATGTAAAACTTTTTGGAGCTGTATTTTTAAATACACTTATAGCAAATCTGGACAGAAATGAAGTCATTTTTACAGTTTTATGTGATGTCGTGTGACATACAATGAATAATAAATACAAATATTGGTAAAATAATGTGGCATTTGAGGTTGCTTCTACATAAATAAAAATAACAAATAGTGACAGTAGTGAGCAGTGGCAGAGTATAAATTAAACGACAATTGACACTTAAGTCTAAGACAATATTACTTTGAGACATCCGTGACCGTCGTAATGTCATTCATCACTTGGTCATAAGACCATTTCAATTTTCAATCTTTGAAATATAGATACAAGTGTGCAGACGCAAATTTATCGTATACCGCGTTTCCATTATAGTATCTTAATACTGTGAAATCTGTGAATGATTACATAGTAATATTAGCAATCATAAAGGAAGTTTGAAATAAAAAATATGAGTAAATAGTCTTGTATTTATTTTGCATCATAATCTTCTGTTCCTCAACTCAGTAATGGCGCCTTCCTATCTTCAAATTCTCCAAAAAATGTTCAGGTCTTGAATTCATATGATCATTCGACTGGAGTATAACCATCCTCAGCGGTAAACAAAATGTGTAGTTTCCGTGCAAATTCATTGCCAAGCCGCCTTGACTTGGAACCTGGCGCAGCTGAGCGAGTCACACCTATATCGGCCACATTGCTAACACTATTGGGCTCCTGAAGCGCCTATAAAAAAAAAAATGTCGCGTGAAATGAAAGCCCGAGCTCTAACTTCTACGCATCAATGATTGCTTTATGACATAATACCTGGTACAGAGATTTTAGAGTTTTGTATTTCGCACAAACAGCCCTTGATGTTTCAAGGCTTGAATGTGGCAATACAGCAATCATTTGTTGCCACAACATACCCACACCATCACCTGAACGAAAATAGAATGAACATTATTTTAACAATGTATGCTTTATGGAGATATCAGATAATGACATAGAAATTTTTATATTACTCTATCTCATAATAGAGCACCGCATATCTACAATTACTGAAATGAGAGTTATATTTTATAAACGACATATTAATATGATTGACTAGGAGTAAAAAATGCAATCTTTGTTGATGAGATTAACTCACCATTTTTAGCAACAGTTACACATTTTTTATTTTCCCCTCTCATATAAAATTCCGCTTGTTCGTCATAGGCTTTCTTTGCGTTCCTGCAATCAAAATAACATTTTTTTATGAAAACAATAATATATAAACAACAAACCGTGGCTCCCATCCTTTTTCTAAGGGAAGTAGGTAATCAACATTCAGCTGATTGCCTGTACCACGCCATGATTTTTGGGTCTTAGTCGTCTTAGCATAAGCGTATAAAAATAGAGGTTCCCTTCATCATTTACGTGGTTTTGGCTTGAGCGAGCGCCCCTTAAGGTTTTTCGTTCGAATCACGGGTGTGCACCAATAGCTTTTCTTTCGCTTGCATGCCTTAAACCAAAAAGGCGACGGTGGGTGACGGGCAGAGAAGGCTGATCACCTACATGCCTATTAAGAAAAAAATTATCTTAAACAAAGAGATACTGAAAACTGAAGCGTAGACCAAAGGTGGTAGCGCTGTTGTTTTTTTTTTTTTCACCATACGAACTAGTATTGCTTACGTATATTAAGGACAGGCGTGGATTGAACGCAGCCCACAGCCTATTGAGAAACCCATGTAAATTATAATTACTTACTTATATGGTGCTTCAGCTATCGCCTTTGTAAACTGTGCAATGGTTAAAGCCAACTCGTTTGGTGTGTTGGTCTTAATTGTATCACATTTGGCGGTCACTAAGAGATCTAAAGAAAATTCATTTTAAACTTAGTTAGGTTAAACTGCCTTAGCTACTACAAGACTCCGTTTAGCTATTTATAAGACAAATTTTACCAACAATGAGTATTTCCCTTAATCATAATTCATATAAGAACTTGGTTTATAATAGATGCTGAGTATTTTATATCAAATTAAATGTGTTAAAAAGGGTTGGCTAAAACATTTTAAATAAAATACCTTCTATCAAATAAACAAATTGATGAGTCATGACTGCTTCTGATATTTGTATTCTTAAAATAGCAAAAAATATAAGATTATTCTCAAATATTGCATTTTGAAAAAAGGACATGTTGATTTATATGTATACCTGTTAAAGCCATTTCCAGATCAATGGGTTCTATTTTTGGGATATGTCTGTTTGTCTTGCGTCCTGATCGTCTGTAAAAAATATTTTCTTATTACAAGTACTACAAGTATAAATTTACTTTAAAATGGCTGTAGATAGCAAAAAATAGAAAATTGTAGAATGCCTTGGAGAAGGCTTTTACCTATTCGTAGATTCCATATAAATATAAATACATTTCAATTTATTACTCACTGTAAATATTTATTATGTTATACATGTGAGAAGATTGAAAAGGACAAAACCATTTGAACTAGTGAATTAGTGTTAGTGCATGTTAGTATTAAGTGCTAAACACTGAGTGAAAAATAGAACACAAGAACAAAGTGTCTTCCCTTTAATAGAGACTGTAAGTAGTGTTTATTGGACACTTTCTTATGTTAATAAATTATTTTAGACTTAAATTACTTAATGGTCTTAAGTTAGGCTGGATTATAATATTACATGATGTCTTAGTGAAGACACATGTATAAACAAAAAAAAAATGTCATACATGTGTTTGCATTTTATGGAATAAAATAAAGCTATATTATTTTACTATTATGACATAATTCTTGACCTTGAACTTGACCATTACAATGCTTAGTGATATGCTTTTAAAAAAACAATTACTTTGCCGCAAGCTTCTTCATTGTATCTATAATTGTCTAGGATTTAGGTACAAAGTCATTTAGTATTGTAACTATGCATGACAGAAAATAAGTAGTATATATTACTTATTATAAACATACTTAAAATAATCCTTAACAGCATACAACACCAATGTCAGTGGACAGCCAGCGAGACTTGCTGCTTGTACCATATGCTGTGAAAGTGTACGAGTCTTCAACTGTTCTTCTATTTCCTCTATATTTGCAATGTAGAGACCATGCTCACAGGGCTGCTTGGTTTGGGTTAGACCTACCTAAAAAATATTTTTTATTTATCTATTGAAATGTTACACTGTTTTAGATGCATTATAACTTATCATTTAATAAGTTTAAATGCATTAAAATCTGTAATAACATATCAGTTGTAAAATTATAATAATAAATATACCATTCCATTATTACTAGTAAATGTAGGTACAAGCAATCTGCTCCATAGCACTAATCTAGTATCACAAAGGGATGAGTTCTTGTTAATTTTGGCCCCTCTTGCTGTCACCTCTCGCTGCACATCAGCACAGTACCATGATTCTATAAGTGCTGGATGCATTTCTACCATCATATACTGTAAAATAAAATACATGTACACAAGGAAAACATGCAGTAGGTGCAAAATTGTGTGCTTTATTAAACATTAATTATTAAATTTATAATAAATAATAATTTATTTATTGCAAAAATATAGTACAAATCTGTTAAGGTGGTACAATCGTAAATCGTTCGCATATTCTGCCACACACAATGGCGCGCAAATTTGTCTTAAGGAATTTTACATTATTAGTCAATTGACAATTCTTATATTATCTGTATTGTAAGATATGTACTTTATTAAATTTATATCAATTACAGTGTCTCACGCAAATAATCATTTATTGAATAGTCCTTTTTCCAAAAGTAATACAGTAAGTCGCTTTTTAAAGACTCTAGTCGGAAGATCTTTTAATTCTTTTAGTAATTTATTGTAAACTTTAATTGCCACACAAAAGGTGTTTTTCCGAAACAGTTCTAGATTGATTTTTGGCACAGCCGATTTCACCCCATGTCTACTTCTACATTTGACTTAAAAATATGTATGTTTCTGTGCACAAATAAGGATATCTCTAAAATATAAATATGTACATGGAAGAGATAAAATTTTGAGCTTCTTAAATAAAGGTTTGCTACAATCAAGACAGTTTGCTACTATCAAGACAGTTTGCTCCACAAATTGCTCTAATACATTTCTTTTCAGCCTTAAATACCCTATTTACTTCGACTGAATTTCTCCAAACTATAATTCCATATCTAAGTATAGATGAAACATATGCATGATAAGCAGCTAATACCAAAGCATGGTTAACAGTTTCCCTTAATTGTTTTAACACAAAACTGTCTATTTTGCTCTGTAATTTTTCAATATGTGCTTTCCAACTACAAAATTTATCTATAGTTATACCTAAAAATACACACTAGTTCATTATGTCCAGTTTATTGCTTTTATATTGTAAGTCTATTTGTGTTTTAGAGTTATATGTCTGAAAATGGATTATGTTAGTTTTGGTCATGTTTATTTGTAGATTATTTGAATTCATCCAGTTGATGGCATCGTCTAAAGATTTAATAAATTTGTTTTTTAAATCTTGTTTGTTTTTTTCTTTTTATTATAAGTGTAGTGTCATCAGCAAATAGTATACAGTTTTACCTTCATACATTCTCCTGGCTTATAAATTTTTTGGGTTTGTTTAGCTGCATTGTTATCATCTACTTTCTTTTTCTTCGACTTTATTTGTTCATTATCTGAAAATATGCAATTGCAACCATTAATTACTTCAGGCTTCAGACACCTTTTTTTACAAAATAGTTCAAACTAACCAGAATTTAGTAAAGGTTTTGAACTTTGTAAACAAATTTTAGAAGTTGATGAACACACATCGGATGATTGACTGCTACCTGTAATTATAATATAAGCAGATAATAATGTTAATAATAATTTAAATGTAGTTATACAAACCAAAACATTTTATTGCTTACTTTGACTTGGAAGAAATACGTCTGGCAAGTCTTCCAAATCATCGCTGTCTTGCGATAAATCTACAGTTATGGAACTCATTTTATTAATATATAAGATTAAATTTTTGGTATATTTATAAATTCATAAAATATTTATTTAAACGGTAAACAGTGTTTACAAAACACTAAACTCAAAACTGCAACTGCCGCCGGCAACGAAGTAACCATAGAAAAATATCAAATAATATATACTGGTCAGTACTCAGTAGTCACTACTCACTACTCAGTACATCATTTCAAATTTTGATTTTAATTTTTGGCGGATTCCCACTTAACACAGCTAATAATATTTATTAGACGTCAACTGTGTGACAACGTTACTGTCAAATTATGATGACTGTAACGTTTTATCAGTATACGGTATATGTACCAAATATAATATATTATTTATTTGTGTAATATATTTATATAATATATAAATAAATAATTTACTAAGGACGGCCGTGTAAAATTAACGTAACTACGATTAACTAACTACCTCACGACTGACGACTAGTACATAGTGCGTTTTCCAATTACAGCACTACAGCGCATTTTGCGGCATAATGCTCAAGCAACGCTTCGCACAATTGAGCACTCTCAAAACGAATGCTCTCGCAAACAATACCAACACAGTGACAGAAAATTGACCAGTATTTTTCTTTAAGTTGGCATTTATCGAAATTTTCGTTAGTAAATATTATTTATTGTTGAAAAATTTGTAAGGCTTTCGTTTCGTCGTAGATTTTGAAAATAATTAAATTTATTTCAAACTGCTAAAAAAATAAATATTAGTATGGATGAAGGTATAAATAGTTACTTTTTTTATATTCCAAATTTAAAATATGAATACAATTTTATTTTAAAATTCGGATCTGTAAACAAATTTACTTTACAGGATTATATACGTACTTTAGAAAAAATTGCAATGGTTTTGAAAAAGTATATATTTTCTAGAAATCATTAAAAAATATTACTCAAAACGTAAATGATGTAAACTTCTTACATGAAACTAAATATTTTACTGTTAATTTAGCTTGTTAAAACCTTATATTCTTTAAACGTTTTCTCTTATTTCAGTAAAAAAAATTTAATGAAATAATTTGATTATTAAATTAAGCGTAAAAAGTTTTCAACCAATTATTATTGTTTACCACATTATTTATACATTAATGAGGTTGCTAACTCTATTCAGACCATTTTTTTGTCAACACTGACTTAGCGCACTTTGCTGATGCATTTGAAAACTAATTCACGTTCCAATTAAGCTTCAGCATTATGCGGCATTGTGCGGCACTGAGTCGAAAAATGCTCTGTAATTGGAAAACGCACTAAGTCTCTAAAGGCTAAAGCGCGATTTACGATGACTCTTGTATGTCAAAATGCATTACGTTTTTGACATATGGGAGTTTAGCGTCCGCGCGTCAAACTAAAAACGCTTTAAACAGTGTTGCCAGATCAGAGGATTTCCCCCTAGATTTAGGGGGATTTCAACCGAGTTAGGGGTAGAATAGGTGGAAAAAATATTTGGAGGTATTTTTAGGGGAAGATCCAAAAACACGCCAAATACAGTTTTTTTCCTATTGTATATCACGTTTATGATTTTAGAACTAAATTGGAGTATGAACACATCGTTAGAATAGGATCCGTGTGGTTAACCTTACTAATTGTTTATTCGTTTGAGCTGTTGAAGAACGATGTGATTTGAATTAAATACAAATTCTGAAATTACATGAAAATTCAGTAACAGCACTACACAAGATTTTTTTTTTGTATTTGAAGGCATCCTAGGGAATTTTTGGGGGAAAATCAAATTAGTCTAGGGGTACGTTGCCGAGACCATCTGGCAACACTGGCTTTAAAGCAGCTAAACTTTACTTAATTTTTACATGACTATTTTATAATTATCAAAAGCATGGACTTATTCTGCAAAAGGAAATGATGTTGGGTGTTGTTAAAACTAAAGATTACCTTCAATTGACCTTCCTACTTCTTTGATTATAATTTTAATCTTTATTCCTGAATTATTCAGTTAAATAAGATTCATAAAATCTAAATCAGTCTCATTGCAGTCTTTTAAGTAAAGTACTTTTTCGTCTCTTTCTGTCTAATTGTGTTTTCGATGCGACGTAAAGCGTACTTTAGTTAAAGCGTTGTTTCATTCTTTGTGATTTATTTTATATGAATGGGATTAAAGTATAATATGTATAATGTACATGCAATATTACAAACGTAAAGTACTACATGTAAGCTTTTTTAAGAACATCCAAATTTTCGAAACGATTTTCTTTAATTCTAAGCTTATGTTACAATTTTTTTTAATTATTTACTGGTGCGAGTAGTTGTTCCCTTCGGTTCCTACCTTTGACTATATAAACATTTATTACACAATGTTTGGTAGCCAAAAGCCGAACTTAATGTTTTCCATACAAAATGTGCGCGAATACCTAAGGTTAGCTCTACGTTTATCAAAAAACATCATGATAATCATCAATGGCTGTACAGCCCCTTACGGGCCTTAGCCTCTATAAGTATTTTTATATAACCATAATAATATCGGTATTAGGATTTAATGAGGATAAGGATTAGGATTACTTAAATTACATTAATTAGCACAACTTAAAAACCACTGACAAAACTCTACAGCATGTTATACATGGAAAGAGAAAAAACGACTTTCACAAAAACATAAAATTACCCAATTATAAGTCAGCCCCCCAAATTACGGGCCTCGTGCCGCGGAATTTTTTTTTCGCTATTGTACTTGGTCCGGTATTGCCATTTCGGATTTTTTAATTTTCATAGGTTTAACCGTCGAAGTTTAATTAAATTTATTTTAATAATTTCACAAAGTATTTTCGCTAGAAATTTTTTTTATCTGTATATTTCTGAATGTTGGTGTGACCGAGTATTGGCCTGCGGCGCTTCCTTTACCTCGACTTGAGGGTTTTGCTGGCCGCGAAACGTGCTCCCATGGGTGGCTAATGGCATTTATATTTGCACTGGTATTTCTATTGCGGATTGAAAACCTTCACAGTTGGAGGTCTCAAAGTTTCAGCAAGTATTGGCTCACGCCTCACAGCCCTTTTTACCTCGAGGATTTGAGGAACTTGCCGGATACGAAAGTCTTTTAATCGGTATTCTAGCTACATTTTATATTGCAAAAGTGTTGCTACCATAATCTCCCTACTTTAGGTGCTTGGTGACGAGGTCCGCTTGGATATATCTCAATACAGAGCCAACCTTATTTAGATCTTGTTGCATAGAACGTAAACTAGAATATGATTTCTCATCATCTGAAATACGAACTAAAAGATTGGAAGCTGATGGTTTGATATTATTAGAAGTTTTTTGTTTGAAGATTATAATCACACTAACATATAAATCCTTTATAATCAGTTTTGCAGTTTGATAGTTATGACGGATCAACGTGATAGACTGTAACTTTTTTACATAAACCTACGCATAAACCTTATATAATATTACGTTATTGGCATAAGTTTTCGCTCGCTTATGTATTTGTTTTTTGACAAAATTGTAAGAATATAGAAAACTATGTTAAGGATTTCTGTGGCCACTACAAATTATTTGATATATTATTATTATTATATATCCTTGTATGACGAATTGAACTATTCAATACAGTGCAATGACATATTAGTAGGCAAGCGCCATCTCTGTAAAAAAGCAAAAATTTGCCCTTGTGTGCCCTCGATTGTTTGAAAGCTTGCAGAATTCATCGAAACATTTGCAACTTGAACTCTACGTGTGATATGAGTTAAGCCAAAGACTAATAAGTAATTGTTTGGTTAATTCTATTACTTTTAACCATTATAATTGTATAATAAAATTAACCCAATAAATTGCGGCTTTGTATACTGAATTATTGTCGCTTTTACTATTTCACACCCCTTCATACAATACATGGTAAACCCAACTATTTCAAATTCCTCTGTTTAATACAAACTATTTACGTAACTCAATCATGTATCGTATACCTTCAGATTTTATCACAAATTATCAGAAAATAGATATATTTAATGAAACTAAAAAATACTTAAAAAATAATATAAAACACTCATACAAAATAGTATTAAAGGATACCAATCCTTTAATAGATATAATGTCTTTGTTATTCCTCTTTTATACTAAATAGGTATATTAAAATTATCAATACATCTTACTATTTATTACATATGTATATTTTTTGAAGTGAAACTTCTTTATCGAGGTTGGAAAAAAAATTTAGTGTAACATTTTTTCGTTACGCGTCACATTTTTCGGTTACGCGCCATGTTGCTTTTTGAAGTCAAACTTCTTTATCGGCGTTGGAATGAAACTTCTTTATCGACGTATGGGAGAAATTTTGTAGCAAATTGTCACGTTTTTCAATGATAGTAATAATTATATTACAATTAATGAAATTCTATAATAATCTTCGTAGTAATAAGGTAAAATGAAATATTTGTATTCATGTCTATGATAATAAAAGCCTTTTGTTAAACTTTATCTAATTTAACGAATTTCTGTAAAGTTGCATATCAGATAGATAGAGACAGTAGATCATTTTTCGAAAAATAAGATCATAAAGAAGTTTCACTTCTTACGTGTGTACACTAGTAGGTACACGCACAATTTATTATTTTGTATAAGTAGGTAATAATTGTTAACTGTGTTTTATGTTTATATTTAAATATGTATTCCTTTTTTGACTTTTGTATATAATGTAATTGTTTAAGAAGGATCTAGCCGTATGAATACTGATAAGCAAAAAAATATATTTTTAGTATATTTTGCAAAGGTAACGGATACTCTAAGAACATATAGAGAAACCAGCCAATAAAATATTGTGTAAAGAAAAAGATAAAAGGGGGCAGGCGGCTCCTATTTGTCAGTTAAGTCGCTTAAAAGCACTATTATTTTTTAGGTAAATTAAAATTATTCTGCGATAGGTGTTTAATTTTAGCGATAAACTAATTCATAAAGCCAAAACTGACGCCATTTTCGTAGATCATTCAGATAAAATATTAAAGGATATTTTTATGTACCTAGTCTAGATTTATATTTTACATCAGACGCTTGCAGACAGTTCTGCGTTACTAATACATATTCTATGACAGAGGGTCGCTCATTTTCCCTCCTCCAGTCTGTCTTTGTTTACGAGGGCGATCGGGCGTTGCTCCGATCCCGCACTGCACATTTTCGTTTATAAATAAAACTTAAACTTATTTGACAAGGATTTCTGCTTTTAAAATACATTAAGACTTTTTTGAAAATACTCTAAACATTACAATTGTTCGTATTAAACAATTGTTATAATAGAAATGCGTGTATAGCTTAAGTGATATAATTGTGGACAAGATTAAAAAAGGCAATAAAACTATGGATTGGCGCGAAAAACTTTTCGGGCGGGCACTTGTAAAATGCGATGCACCTGGTACGCAAAATGGTAAATTCGAAAATGTACCAACTCTTGAAGCGTTAGCGGACTGTGTTGAAGAAGGGGAGGGTGCTGTTTGTGGTATATACTTTTCGTTTGCTAATATCAGTGATGCTAGTGATGACTTCGGTGTTCGCTTGGAGCAGGTTTATAAAGCAGTTCATCCGAAATTGAAGGTGGTCGAGGTGGTGCTTTGGGCTCATGTGGGTACTCCCGAGGGTCCAGTTGAAAGAGAAGCTGGTTTTCGTCGCACCTTGACTGGAAAACCCTGGTTCGCAGTGCCATTTCACGACGTTGATACGAAGGTATGTGAATAGAATTTTAGGACCGACTTTAGGATATGTAATTCGTATTACGACAATTAATATTTTTCAATTTTATAAAAGCTTAAAATTGTATATGTAAGTTTCCAGACTACTTTATATTTTAATACATTACGTTTATATCGGTATTTACTTTATTACCTATTTAGCTCAAACTTCTAAAGAGCTATATGGCTACACAGACTGTGAAATTGTACAAGTTTAAACATAAAAACGAGCAAGTTTAATTAAGTTAAAAACGCTTGCTTGCAGCACGAATACAAACGGAATGAAATGGCGTACATAAACCTAAGTTATTATCCACGCGATATAAAGCACCTTTCCCCTCTATAATTATTCCTAAGAGGTGGGTGAGGGTGTACTGTACACCCTTCCAAGTGTTGCCATAACCAACGTAAGGTATTGGAGTGCAAAGAGAGAATCTTGCCCTTTAAATGCAATCTAATAAAAAATATAAAATCGTGAAAAAAAAATCGTAAACTTAAAAGTATATCCAGAAATTCTTAATTAATTCAATTTAATGTTGTACTCGTACCACATGTATATGTGTGAAAGAATCATAGATTATAGATAAACCCTCAATTCATATACACTAATACACTGACGTAGTCTCGTCTAGTAGTTACTAAAGAAAGCTCTATCGTATTTTATTTGTTGTTATAAAATTATACTATAATAAGCTGTAGTTTTTTATATGTGTTATAATCGCGTAACCGATTTTAAAACAAAAAGAAGTAAAACTTCAATTACACTAAGCTTACCCCTAATTAATACTGGCAACACTTGTAACCCTAATTTAAAAATGAGAAAATTAAAAAAGATGTTGCCCTCCCTAATTTCTCTAGGGATGTTTTCGTGCTGATAAAATGATAGGCTCTGGCGTGAGATTCCGATGACGCACCCTGTGTAGGGTAAATATTTGCTGAATTGCGGTTTCAAAGCGTTTGTTTTCCTTCTTTTTACCCATAAACAAAGAAACGATGTGTTTTCTTACAAATATTTTTATTTGAAATGTTTTTTTATGTTTCTTTTCGGAAAATCGATTGATGAATTTTTAAACGATTTATAATTAAATTGGAAAGAGCTGGTGTACAACATTATACAGTGTAGTATAACATGTTTAAAAAAAAGTCAGTGACGCTACAACCCTTCTAGATCTGGGCCTCAGATCTCTGTATCTGTTTCATTTTCTCAATATAATAGGCAAGTAGGTGATCAGCCTCCCGTGCCTGACAAGGAAAACGTCTATTGGTGCACAGCCGGGGATCGAACCTTCGACCTCAGGAATGAGAGTCGTACGCCGAAGCCAAAGGCCAATAGGCCAACATGTTTAGTTCTAATTTTATTTGAGCTAGGCTTACGTACAACGCACCGGTAGACAGCTACTCTGGGATGTGGAGAAATGCAGATGTTTTAAGTACTTAGTGCGTATTGAGGCCTGGACGTCAAAAGCAACGGTCGTTATATAAACTTCAGTTGTACCAGAAGTTGACAAAATGAACAGTAATAACATTGCCCCAAGTTAGATTAAGTAATTAAGGAACGGAAATGTAACTAAATGTTTAGAATTCCCTTAAGGCTTTTGGCGCTTGTCACTCGCCATCCATTAATGCTTGCGTTGGCTATAAATAAACAGTATCTTTATTTAATGTACATTTTATTACTTTACTTTTTATATAGTCTTTAATAATGAATAATTCATTAAAGGCGTAATTTTTTTGGATTTTTTTAATGACTTGATCATAGATTTCATCGCATACCGATGAATTCTATGATCAACGATTACTATTACATGCAAACAGATAATAAATATTATTCACTTAAAACAATCAAATATGTCAAGATTTTCTATTTCGCTAAGAAATAAGCATTACTAGGGAAAATATAATTTACTTTTTTTAACAAAATATTAATTATATTCGATTGATAACACAGAATAAGCGTAAGCTGTAAACGGCTGTAGTGGTGGTCAAATAATTTTTCAAATCATTTAAAATTACTTATAACAAAGAAATTTACAAAATTTACCTCTATTAGATACTGTAAAAAACATCATCGTTGAAATTACAATGTAAATATTATTTTTTTATTAATTGTAAATTATTGTGTTGTACTGTATATTATTATTACGTATATACAAAAGAAGAAATTTCCATTGTTTTACTAAATCAAAACCTGTGTTACCTTAACAAAGCTCAGTTAATTAAGGCTAAACAATAGAAAATGTTTCTTATAATCGTATTGTATGCGTAGACAACATTAAAAAGACCCTTCATGCCGAGGACAAAGCTTGGAAAATAATTAATTTAATTTACAAGCTACGGCCCCTACTTAGAAAGCGGAAACTGACTCATTTTCCGTTCAATTTACTCCAGACATTCAGTGACTTCTATAGATTACTCTACTAGCCAAGTTGAATTCCAAAAATGCTTGGTGAGAATTATGTGCAATTCTTAAGAAAGTTGGTTATATAGAATTTTTCACGCAACGTAAACGTATCCCTTCGTTCGCAATTGTATTCGTTAAACTATTTGTCCAACTATATAAAAAAACTTTTTTTTTTTCAATTTCTTTTTGAAATGCATCGCGATAATACCAAGAATATACTTCAAATATGAATGAACCAGTTTTATACAGACTTTAATGGATTACTATAAAAGCAATAAAAGTATATCAAATTCATACTATTAATCAAGCAGAGAGATATTCTCCATTTTCTAACATAATGGGAGGCAAACAAGTGCTCTAACAAAGAGCCCGCACTGCATTCAGTCTGCGCTTGACAAATACTTGACATTTATACATTGCGCTTGCGATTTTTTTGCTCTCATTGATTACACCGTTATCGAAGAAGGGTTATTGAAAAAATAACTTGATTTATTAAGTGTCAGAATGTAGGTTCGGTTAGGGTTTGATTTAAGGACTGAGTACTATTTATTAATGTACGTAATAACAAACAAGAGAGATTTGAAAGATTTTTGAGATAAATAATATAAATACGTCTACGTTGGTCTAGAGTCTAGACCTAGAATGGTAGAATGGTAGAGCGACCCCGGAGCCTACTTAATGTGGCGGCAATCCTCTGACTTGCAGGCATTGTGATGGGAGACGACTGACGAGCTTCACAAAATCCTGATACCTTTGGGAACAGTGAATATACAGGAAGAATAAAAAATCTAGTTTATTTATTATTAGTCACTTTGTTGAATTCTAATTTTCTTTCTTTCTTATAGTATTACTAGCTGACCCGGCAAACGTTGTTTTGCCATGTATTATTATTTCTAAGAAAAAATTTTTTAGTTCAATAAAAATAACTATCTACTGCAATAAAAAATGGGGGTTGATCATAAAAAAATAAAAACAAAAATTTTGTGTAAAAAATAAAAACAAACATTTAGGGGTGGACCCACCCTTAACATTTAGGGGGATGAAAAATAGATGTTGTCCGATTCGCAGACCTAACCGATATGCACACAAAATTTCACGAAAAGCGGTCGAGCCATTTCGGAGGAGTTTAATTACAAACACCGTGATACGAGATTTTTTTATATAAGATAATAATTTACATGTTATCCGTAAAAAAAGAATCTAGTAAAAATAAACGAGACTTTTATAAGCGTTGGCTGGTTTTTAAAATGTATGTAGACAATAAAATTGTATTACAGTAGATATTGATTCGGTCGGAGCTGCCACCTCAAAATAGCGTGTCTGCACAGACAAAGCCAGGTTTTTAGATCAACTGATGCGTACTATATATAATAGAAACGACTATTATTGAGCTCAGAGCTAGAATACACATATAATTTAGATATATTATATTTTATCCAACATACACATTTACGATTCGAAAAAAAAACTGTTAAAAATTCGTAAAAAAATCTTCTTGCCGTGATTTGCATACCAAAACATACCCGTTAAAAAACTATTTAAGATGTCTTTTTGCTAATCAGGGTAGCGATTTGAGAGTACAATTTACATCGGGCTAAATAAAGAATTGATACGGATCCAATTTGATTTAAGAGCGACGCTAACTATGATGGTAACAAAGTATGTCACATATACAAGTTATCTGTGTGAACAAAGGCCAGCCTTGCGATTCTGTAACTCACTTTTCGAACTCACACAGCGGTTTTCGCATCGGCGGTCGCTCTCAAACCAGTCGTGAAGCAGTCATTTTATGATTTGGCATTCTGAAAAGATGGGAGCTTGTAGTTTATTGTTTATCAGAATGTTTATTCGAAAAGTGAGTTACAGAATCGCAGGGCAGTGGCCAGATAAAAATTTTGCCCTAAAGCTGAATTTCTCATCGCTTCTATAAATCCTGGTTTATTGTGAACACACGTAGGCAAAGTTATTTCAAAGTCAAAAAATAAACTCAAAGTATAGCGAAGCTCAAAGAGTAACAAGCAGTATTGTGCAGACAAAGTTCCGTTTGAAACGAGTCGTGAAACCGACACTTGAATTTAACTCATTAGTGGTAAGCCACTGTCGGTCACGGTTCAAAACGCGACAGAAATGCACTGCAATGTGCAATGTGCATCCGTTGGGGTGACCAACGTGTGGGTGTTTTAAGGTATTCCAAGTGCAAGTAAAGATGAACAGCTTCACAAATTACGGCATTGTTCTCTAATTTTGCACTGTAATTTGGCGATTAAAAGTGGTGGATCAGTTCTACCTGATTTGAGAACTGGAATATGTAAATTTATAGTCACTAGTTAATATTTTGAGGTTTATAAGTTCGTGAATAAATATATTTTACTCTGGTTGTAAGTAATATATACATACTGTAACATTTAGTAACTCCCCCATCTATCAAGTAATAGATAAGATATATAAAAAAAAAAAAAAAAGGGGGGGGGGAAAAAAAGAAAAAAAAAAAAAAAAAAAAAAAAAAAAAAAAAAAAAAAAAAAAAAAAAAAAAAAAAAAAAAAAAAAAAAAAAAAAAAAAAAAAAAAAAAAAAAAAAAAAAAAAAAAAAAAAAAAAAAAAAAAAAA